GCCACAACCATTTCCGCAAGAAATCGCATCCACTTTGAATTTTTGATGGTTAATCATAAGCTTTCTTTTTAATTCCCACCGCAAACACATATGCATGCAACTATCTACCCTCCAATATGTTGTATCTAAAGCTAGGGTTCATCTCCATGATAGCTTTGCCAACATTGTCTACATCTTGAAAGAACTTAAAGAAAACCCCATAAAATCCAAATGCTATTCACTTTTACGGACCATATTCAATAAAGATTGAAATCATGTTAATAGTACTTAGAAATCCCTCCCATACCTTAATCCTAATGATTGGGCACGGAATATGAAGCAGAAAATGAAATCCATCATCTTTTTCAGATAAGTATAAGGGAAGAAAGAAAATATGGGGCAAGCTAGAGTGTGAAGCTCGCCTTTAGGATAAAGATAGAAATGCCTCCGTCCTCCGTTGTGATAGCCATGTGTTGACAAAACACTCGCAGGTGAGCAAAATTATATGACAATAGTACAGGTTAGAGAAACTCTTACGCTAAAGTAAACTAGAGATAACTTTAATAATATTCATGATAGATGCCTCATCTTATGCGAGTACTGCCATAACTGAGGCTCTAGAGTCGGGAGAGGCTGCTCGAGATTGATCGAGGCATTCCGTAGCAAGGACCGGACGAGGTCGTCGCGAGAATAGGTAGGGGAGAATGTCACGTGTGGCGGGTGACATGGAAAGTGATGTGGCACATAAAGAGCCACATTATGAGGTGGTATAATGGTGTGCATTGTAAGGGAGACTTAATAGGGTGTAGTAATGGTGCGAGCATTATGAGGGGTATTAACACCTTGTAAGAGGGGAAAGTCTATATAAGAATGACATCCTCCTCATTTGTAGTCATCCATCATATTTGTGAGTAATACACTCTAGAGAGTTTCTCCCATCTCCTTGTGTCTTTTTTTGTGTGTGAGTTGAGTGAGTTTGAGTTAGTGAGAAGGATGACTTAGCATCTCAGAAGTACTTGAGAGCTAAGGTCGTACGGTCAAGACTTAGATCCATGACACTTGGTATCAAAACCTGATTCTAAAAAAGAATCAGTGTCCTTGCTCCCCAAAAGGAAGAAGAGAAGAAAGAGCTAGAGCCTCACCAAAGTTGTTGGGATCAGAAGTTCTTGATGCTAGTGGTGACAAATGTGGCCGAGATACACGAAAAGATCCTGGCCAAAGTCCGATAAGTCCAACACTCGTGATCCTTTGGCGGCTCTAGAGAAGCGCGTCTCTAGAGTGGAGGTGAAGGTGGCTGACGATGTCACCGTGATGGAGGATTTGGGGGCCAACTTCACCCAAATCTAAGGCGATGTTCAAGGTTTGGGGGGTCGATTGACGCGCTTGGAGATCGACAATGAAGAGCTTCGTGAAGAGTTAGTGGCCCTTATCAACAACACTATCTCCACCTCCATGAACAACGCCATTGAAGTTATGAAGGATACGGTTCAGGCTGAGCTAATCATCATGAAGGAGATTGCAGATCTCAAGAGTGAGGTTACTCTCGTGAAGAGGGCCATGGCTAACGGACATGTCGCGGTGCACTCCACCTCAACCATGCGTGATAGAGTCATGGAATGACTTCAAGAGGGAGATCAAGAGGCAATTCTACCCCGAGAATGTTGGGTTCGAAACCCGGTCGAGACTAAGGAGCTTGCTTGTGAAGGAGAGATTCGAGGGTATGTGAATGCGTTTTATGAATTTTTGCTCGAGATTCTCGACTAAACCGACAAGGAGGCCATGTTCACCTTCCTTGACGGCCTCCAACCATGGGTGAAGTTGGAGCTACAACGGCGAGGTGTGCAAACTCTTGCCAAGGCAATGGCGATTGCTGAGTCCCTAATCGAGTACCACGAGCAGGCGGAACGCATGGATTCCTGAGGCAATGGAGGTGGGCACAGCTATGACAAAGACATACAGAGGCGTGGTAGCTCGGACCAGAGAGGTAATGGTAAGGCTCAGAAACCCCTTACTTGCTTTTTTTGTGATGGACCACATCGTGTGAGAGATTGTCCAAAGAAGCACAAGTTGTCGGCCATGAAGGTCGCGCTAGCAGAGTGCTCGAGCTCAGAAGAAGAAGAGGAGGCGCCTCCAAGAGTAGAGCCGCATGTCATAAATATTGGTTGCATGAAGATATTGAGCACCATCAAGTGAACAAAAGGACCTCGTCACCCCAAGCGACACGATCAATGCTTCCTAGCAGCAAAGCTCAACCAAAGGAAGACGAAGACCTTGGTTGACATTGGGGAAAGCTGCAACCTTCTCGATGTAGATGAAGCGTGGAGGCTAGGCATCACATATGAGAAGGAGAAAAGAGGGTGGTTAAAGGCAACCAACTCAAGGGCCACAAGAACTCACGAAGTAGCGTGCCTGGTGCCACTCAAACTTGGAGGATGGACTAGGGTAACAGACTTTAAAGTGGTGTCGTTGGATGACTACCAGGTCATCATCGGTATGGGTTCATGTTGTGGGAGAAAGATTTCTCGGTCCCTTACGCCAATACATTTTGTATCGAAGGAGGAGCAAGATCGGTTTCCATGACAAGAGAGCAACCCAAGTCAAACAAAGGGCGTTTGGCAAGGCAAGAACAACGAGAAGTGGCAACGATGATGGAAAGAGCGGCCCACTCGAAGACTCGTTGGAGAAGGACAACGAGGAGGAGTGCGTGACAGCGTGGAGCCACGAGAGATGAGGAAGATCCATCATCGACTTGTCAAGAGGAGCATGGAAAGGCCACCATGATCGAGAAAGCGAGACACTCGAAGACACGACGGAGAAGACCGCAGAGGAGTTGGCAACATCATGGGAGCACAACACTTGAGAGCAAGCCAGAGCTATCCTTGGATTTGAGGAAGGCACAACAAGACCTTGCAAGCAGTGAGGCAAAGGTAAGAAAGGAGTCTGACAAAGAGCCATGAGGAGGGCGTCGTGGATCGAGTGGAGGAGAATGTCACGACCGAGGCTGTAGAGTCGGGAGAAGCTGCTCGAGATCGATCGAGGCGTTCCGTAGCAAGGACGTGACGAGGGCGTCGCGAGAATAGATGAGGGAGAATTTCACATGTGGTGGGTGACATGGCAAGTGATGTGGCGGATCATTACAAGGTCAAGCACGTGTAACGTTATAGAAGACCAAGTAGCATAGGATGCTCCTAGGATTCCCCATCTTAAAGATGAGTTTAATGGTGCACAGAAAGAGCCATGTTATGAGGTGGGATAATTGTGTGCATTATGGGCGAGACTTATAGGCAGGGGAGAACCCACTCACAAGAATGGGTTGTCAATTGACAAACCTTGAATGCAAAATTTCAACAAAATACCTGTGTAAAATTTTAGTTTGGTAATGGTAGTATTTGGATTCCAAACTATTTGACAACCCTTATAAAATTTTGTCTATTGTTGAATACCTTTAATGAAATTTATGGGTCTGCTGTTGCTTATAGGGTGTAGTAATGAGAAGAGCATTATAAGGGGTATTAACACCTTGTAAGAGGAGAGAGCCTATATAAGGAGGACATCCTCCTTATTTGTAATCATTCATCATATTTGTGAGTAATACACTCTATGAAGGTTCTACCATCTTCTTGTGAGTTGAGTGAATTTGAGTAAATGAGAAGACTGACTTAGCATCTTATACGAAGTTGAGAGCTAAGATCGCACGATCGAAATTTAAGTCCGTGACAATACTGCTGGAAAAAAAAACCATATAGATTCCACTACCGAGTTGTTAAGGCCCTGTTCACTTCCATTTTCGTTTCCTGTTTTCTGTTTTCATGTCATAAATTTGGCAACCGAAACGAGAAAACTTGTTTACTTTTCATTCTGTTTTCTATTCGTTTCCAACTATGAAAATAGAAAGTGGCAACTTCCTGCTGTTTTCGGAAACGACAAAATGTTGTTTTCACCTGTTTTCAACATCTGTTTTCTCAAAAACAGGAAACAGAAATGAAAGTAAACAGGACCTAATTTGTTTCTTTCAATCGTGCCACTAAAGTACATCCAAAGACTAGTATGGAGGTTTGTAATTGTATGAGCTTGGTGCTGGCTGCGGTACGTGTTGCCAGCAGGTCGTTTGTAAATATATGACATTGAATTTTTTTTTTTTTGTCAATATATATGACATTGAACTTTATCACTAAGTATATTATATTATGTAATGAAATTTGTTTTTACAAAGCTGGATGACTACTTGACTAGCAATACGAACTAAAATGTCTTATTGCGTTCATTTTTATAGCAAAAGAAAATTGACCCAACATCATTGCGTCAATTTTACAATTGATTTCACAGACAATATGAGCATCATTGCCGGCTGCCATTGCGTTGCGTCACAGGTGTGTTTAGTTAGATTTATATCAAGGATAGAAATACTAGAGGTCACATCGGAAAAATTATAAGTAGGGTATTATATGCTAAAATTATGATTTAATTGTGATTCAATTGTTTTATACCGTTACTAGAGGTGTCAATTCTCAATCCAATCCACCAATCCATTAAAAATATCCATCTAATCCAATCCATTTAAATCCAATCCATTTGATCCAAATCCAATTGGATTGGTGGATTCATGGATCAATCCATGGATCCAAATGAGAAATTATGATTTGATACCTATACTTTTTATATTTTACATATTGGTCCAAGGTTGAGGATGTCATTTGAATTCATGGATAATCCACCAATCCACTTGATCTAATCAATTGGATCCAATCCATTTGATACATGGATCCACCAATACAATCCACCAATCCATGGATTCAATCCATTTGTCATCTCTAACCGTTACAGATCGCCTACCATTTTTGTTTCTGGTTGTAAATTTTTCGGCTAGTACAATATAGTTTTTTAATCATTATAATTATAATAAATTGAGAGAAGGAAAGTAGAAAAGTAAGGGGCCCAAGAAAAGCCCAGATTCCTGAGTCCGTCTTTGATTCCATCTGTTTCTGTTGTTGAGTGGAGTGGGCGTGGCTCTCCCTGCGTCTGTTATATAAGCCTCCTCTCTCTCTCTCTCCCTCTCTCCTTCCACCTCACTCTGCTGCACTCTCTGCCAGAGAAGCAAAAGGCGAGGCGACAAAGAACGGTCACGCTACTTTCCCCTCCTCCAGTCCTCCTTGTCCTCTCCGTCTCCCATGGCTTCCCTCCTCGAATCCGGCTGGCAGGTAACTCATCCTCCCAGCTTGCTCTCGGGATAATAACATTCGCGCCGTCCTCTCCTAATTCCGCGTTCTTTTTCAAGAAAGCCTTAGATAGTTAGATTCCTCCGCCTTTCGAATCAATGCTTCATCATTGCTCTCCCCTGGATCTGCCACCAATGCTTGTGCTGGCTCTTCAATTCCTTGGCGGAGTTGATTCTGTAGACACTAGTCCTTTTTTTTTTCTCTGTCCCGCTATTTTGCCGCGTAAAGCTTTGCTGAATGTGAACCACGCGTTTCCATTCAGATCTTTTGCCATTGTTTCAGAGGAATATCGGGGACTTTCCGCCCTGCGTTGAAATTTCGAGTAATGCTAAGATGGGCATTTTGTTTGCCGGATTCTGCCCACTTTAATGCGTGGATGGGGACGGTTCCACCGTTGTTTTAAATTGTAGTTGTCATTCCCATGGAGATCTCGATTAGGGGGAAGCTGAAACAGACTATGTTCTCCTTGTGCTCTAGCTGTTCTCACGGTTATCAATCCATGTTGTGTATGTGTATTTCTTAAATGGATCGAGTTACTCTTCCTCTTTCATGAGCTTTTTTGTTAACCCTTTGCCAGGATTACAGTTGCCCATACGTAACATTTGGGGGGGACCAATTTGACTTGTTAATTTCTTTCTTAAAGACAGAAATTTGTGCTCTTTTTCATTTGTTCAGCCATGGAAGATGGTCAAAACAGTTTCTGAAGCTTCCTTCCCCGTTTGACTGCTTCACTACCTTGTGGGTTTCTTTTTATAACTTTCATTTTCTTCCCATGCAGTATTTGATCACACATTTCAGCGAGTTTCAGTTGGCTTGTCTAGGGAGTTTCTTCATCCATGAAGGCGTCTTCTTTTTATCTGGACTTCCTTACATATTCCTTGAAAGGGCAGGATGGCTGAGCAAGCACAAGATTCAGGTACCCTATTTTGATCTATGTTGTGCGGTCACTGTTGTTAAACAATGACATTTCCCTGCTTACATCTTCTGGAAAATATGACTTCACCCCAGCATCACATCTCTTATTGGCTGTTCTGTATATTTCTAATGTGTAATCAACTAGTTTGGTTACTATTTCCTTCTTCTTTGGGGATTATTTTATTCCTATTGCACTTTCACTTATATCTGGTTCTATGCAGCCTAAAAACAACAGTCCTGCAGCTCAGGAGAAATGTATTACTCGTCTCCTTTTGTATCACTTTGGTGTCAATCTACCAGTTATGCTTGTGTCCTATCCCGTCTTCAAGCATATGGGCATGAAAATCAGCCTTCCATTGCCTCCATGGTACTGTCAGGTTCTTTATATACCGAATGCATAGAAACTATATGATTCTTCACTTGTCAATCTCACATGCTGGATTCCATTTCCATTTCCATTTCCATTTCGATCAGGATTAGGATAAACCTTCTCTGTTCTGTGTGTGTGTGGCATAATTGTCATCTTTTTGCGAGGCCTGCTTACAAACTCCTGATTTGATTCTGCAGGAGAGTTGTTCTAGCTCAGATAAGTTTCTACTTCATCTTGGAAGACTTCGTATTTTACTGGGGACATCGAATTTTACATACAAAATGGCTGTACAAGCATGTGCACAGTGTTCATCACGAGTAAGTTTGAATTAGACCGGTTTTATAATGTTCTCACAAATGGGATCCTGAGGTGTTGTGTAGATGCTTTTGTGGTTATGACTAATTGACTACATATGCAGGTATGCTACACCATTTGGTCTGACGTCTGAATATGCTCACCCTGCTGAGATATTGTTCCTTGGATTTGCAACTATTATTGGTCCCGCACTTACTGGGCCGCATCTATCTACATTGTGGTTATGGATGGTGCTTCGGGTTCTGGAAACAGTTGAAGCGCATTCAGGTTACCATTTTCCATGGAGCCCGTCCAATTTTCTTCCTTTATATGGAGGGTACGTTTTCCATTTCCTATTGATCTCTGCATTTTCAATCTGTTAACACTCTGTTCTGGTAACATATGTTTAACAAGTGCTTATTCGGTGATTTCTAACATCTCCTTCACATACTTCCAGTGCTGATTTTCATGATTATCACCATCGCTTGCTTTACACTAAATCTGGAAACTACTCATCGACTTTCACATACATGGACTGGTGAGTTTCCGAACCTTGGGAACTTGTTTCAACATTATCTTTTTGTGTTGGTTGGCTGTTACCCAACTGACTAATCTTCGGCTTCACTCTGGATTTGGTACGATAACCTGTATCGAACACCACAGGAGTTGGTTTCTTTTTATTTCCTGTAATAAGCCATGCAAATCTGCTGATTTTGCACCGGTCTTTATTGAACTAATGAAGAAATCCGTTTGCAGATCCTCTTCAATTCCTGATTGAGCTTGTCATCTAGTTCAAAATTCTAAAGTAAAGAGTCAAATAACGACATCAGTCCTTCCTGGTCTCTGAATGGTTTAAAGATTACGAGTGCATATATTCTGACTAGGATATGCGTAATAAATGGGTGAGCGTGTTGGTAGCTTTGCATGTCCCCTAGACCACCTAAAGAAGTAACCAATCACCATATACTGCTTGCAGTGCCGTGCTCTTGGGTTATCCCTTGGAGTTTAGAACACTATCAGTTCCCAAAACATAAGTCCTGTATGCCTTGTTATAGCATGCCATTAATTATCGTTTAGCTGAATGGTTGTGCTTTATGGTGCCGCCGCTGGTTAAACTGTGTCATATTCGAATCTCTTGTATGCCCATCTCCAGGGTTACTTTCCCCCCTTCTTTATGACATTGTTATCCATCAAGTGACGCTTCATTTTGATGTGTCTTGGCTATCAGGATATTTGGCACTGACAAAGGTTACAGAAAGTTGAAGGCGCTTCAGAGTGATGAAGATGAGCGCATTAGCAAGAAGATGTGACCTTGGTGATGCGAAACAAGATTCTTTAAGCCGACGTCGGCATTTAGAAGGTTGAATGTGGATGGTAAACCCCTAAAAACCAGGAAGGAAGGAAGGAAGGAAGAAAATAACGGAAGTGTGGTCTCCCCCTGTACTTTGCAGTCGTCATGTGTGCGTGGCAGTCCGACCATTTTGCATTTAGTAGGGTGTCAATGTCATCGAGGTTGCTATGGTGTTTAAATAGGTAGAAAAGCTTGGTCAGTGTTGTCCCTGCAAGCTCCTCTTGTTGCTGCACGTTGTCCTTTTTCCTGTATCTAAAGGTTTTCATCAATGGCGGGGTAGAAGGGAAAGTTGCATCCTCCCCTAATCGTTTTCTTCTTGTAGTGGTATCTGCTCATCATTATGGACTGCAGATGCCTGTTCTCAGCGAAACTAATGTCACCTTTTAATTTAGAATGCAGATGCCTGTTTCTTTTGTGCCTTATTTTTCAGGGAGTGCAAATTCTGTTGACGGTGAAATTGAGCAACTTTCAACAGCCACGGTCCTGCTTGGTCCAGTTCTTCGATTTCTGCTAGCGTCTACTTGATTTGAAGTTGGCTAAAATTTCTGCGTAGAAAAGGTGGCTAAACTTATCTCACGGAGAAGAAGTTGGGCAAAATAAACTGCAATAACTAACTCCACAGTGCGTAGGAGAACTACATAGACTGACAAATGGTCCGGTTGAAGAAAAAGAATAGGCATGTTAACGTCTGGTGAACTTAGAGGAACACCTTCTGTTTCCAATTTAGGCGACCAAACTTTAACTAAGCATGTAAACACAGAGAGAAACGTAGAGCCAAGAAAATTCGAGTGTTTTCATTGTGCTCAAACTTTGAGGAGAAAACGACTATTTTCGTGTTTAGTTATTGCATGCTTATTATCGTGTTATGGTGTACTGCTATGTGTATTGATTATACTACTACTATGAAAAACAAAGAAATTAACCTCAAGTAGTAGGCATCATTGTTAGGCATGTATTAGAGGAGAAATTTTACAATGCTATATAGTATTGGTGCTATAGGTTTTTGCCTTTATGGTACAACTTGAAATTGTACATTTAACGTGTCCATTGGTCGATGTTATATAGTATTGGCGCATTGGTCGGTGATATTTTTTAGTAGTCGGCCGTCTTCTGACCTCCTAGAAGTGGCCATTTTTTAGCTAATAATTGTCTCCAATCTCTATAATTGTTATTCAATACGATTATCAAAGCTCCTATATGTGGAAGAAGGTTAAAAAGGTTGAGGATTCTGGTACCCGTAGTTATTGCGACCGTAATCTCGAGCTTGATGATAACGAGTACCCATAAAGTCAACCTCCTTGATTGGGGATTCACCTATAGCCCCATATTTCCTTCCATTGTGACCGTCTTTGCCGCACGGTTCGCAGACAATGAGTTCAGTTTCTTGCTACTATTTCTGTACTATAAGAGGCCAAGAAGGTGTACCAGAGATGAATGGCATCATTGCTGCAGTAGACATAACAAAGTATGCTTCCCTACTGGTATGCATATGTTGTTGTTGGTGGTCTAGAATTGCAACTTTCCCCTCTTCTTTGTGTCGGTGACACTTGGCATTAATGTTGGGTGTGCAGTCTACATTCTATGTTGCTGCGGTGTTTGTTTTTTTCTCTAAACAATTACAACTTCAGTTAATTTCATTTGTTTTGATTTAGCACATTGTTGCTTCATTTGTTTTTCATCGTTGAGAACAAGCCTATTCTCGGAGAGTCAGGATTGTAACGATTAGGACTTGCTCGTCACATATTGTAATATAGAGGATCATGTTGTAATTGTCCATACCTTGTAAAAATCTTGTGTTGACATTTGAATTATTGTCGAATAAAAGAATTGAACTTTCCCTATGTTCTTCCTTCTCTATCCTCTTTCTCTTCTCCTTTTGTTTTTTTGTTTTTTTCCTTCTTAATACCTCCCACTTCTATTCTCCTTCTCATTTGATGCTTCTTCCAGCTTGATAATCTAAAGTGCATGGGCTAAGGAATGAGGCTCCATCATTGTGACTATAGGTCGCAATTCCTCATTTAACCCACTTATGAAACTGGAAAATGAAATACTCCTCTTGGAGCGCATGAATATTATAACGAATCATTTGCGTCTTAAGGTCTTTGAATTTCTCTTGGTACTACAGTATAGATCCTATTTGCCTCAACTTATTGAAATCACCCACAACTCCACTTAATCACCAGCCACTGAACATACCACACAAGACCATTACAAATTCTTACCGAGCTAGCTCTCTACAGCCAGTTTTCCAACCCTCAAACCATATATCCGGACGACATTCAAAGTATGCCACCATTATGTTCCATTGGTGTCTCATAAATCTCATAGAGATTCTACCATTTTCTGGTCCACTCACTAGGATTGCCTCCATTAAAGGAAGGTAAATCCAAATGAGGGAGTTGGATTTATGTATTGTCACCACAAGGAGGAGGCTGAATGTACAATTCAAAATCTGCAACTCTGTTCATCGAATATGGCCTCGTGGTGCCGGATTGAGCTCCATTCGCTCATTCTAACTATAACTTCTCAATCAAAGCCCAAGTATAACCAACGACCGGGTACTGTAGCATAGGGTAAACAAGTAATAAAAATATCGAATCGCGAAAGTCTATATGTACCTTACTTCAACCTAGGTATCGTTATGTAGCCAAACAAGAATAGTGATTAAGAAACTAATATAGCTAAACTAACCCAATCACTACCTTAGTTAATTACAAGTTTGGAGCTCACTTAGGCATGAATCCCCCTAATCCCTTCTTTTGGTTGATGTTGATTACTTTCCTACATTGATTGACTCGATATCTCTACAGCGGAGAATACTAGACTAGGTTGGACCTCCTATTCGAGTGCATCCGATCCAACCATGCTCAATTGCGCTACCCGAAGAGGCGTACCAAACAACCGACAAAGGCAGTTGAGGTATTAACCGCTAATTCTCACGATTTGGGAAAACCCGACACGGTGTTTCACAATACGACACTATAAACCCTAGCTAACTGGTATTTACTTCAAATCCTATACTTTGATGAGGAGATCCATCAAAATTCACTCCATCACAGATTAACCCGGAACGATAATAGATTGAGAAGCGATATGAATTGCCAAAAATGGAATATAAGCGGATTTTCGACCCTCCCGGCTAGGTAAAAAAAAGTCTCAAATTGAGGGATGAAATTAAGATCCATCAAATGCATGAAGCACAATTTTGAGATTTGTCACAAGCATCAACAAACAATCCGAAATCTAGAATTAGGATTCATCAACTTAAATGCATGAATAGATCTAGTTCATAAAAAGGAGAGAGATTACAATATTACGAAGCTTAAAATCTTCTATATCTTCTGCTAGGAGATGATCTTCAAGCTGGAATGAAATGATATAGTAGTTATGGCTCCGAAAAGTAGAGCAAAGGCCGGTTACAGTAAACAATATTAGGGGAAGGTGAAGCCGTGAACGGACATCCCACCGTCGACGCAAACGGTTTGGCCAGTGATGTACGATGAAGCGGGCATGCAGAGGAAGGCCGTCAATGAAGCTACCTCCTCCGCCTTCCCCACGCGCCTCATCGGAGTTCTCCCTATCACACTCTCCTCGAATTTCTTATCCTCCAAGTGCTGCAACTTAAAAACCCATGTTATAATTTCCAGGAGGAAAAAAAAAAATCAAATTGAATTAAAGCAAAGAGGTTGAAGGTATGGAAATTAACTGATTCCACGAGAGGAGTCGTCGTAAACCAAGGAGCCACTGAATTGACCCTTATGTTGTCCTTGGCCCACTCGCATGCCAGATTCTTGGTTAGCTGATTCATGGCTCCTTCAATCAAAATATATAATAATGATCAATAATCATAATAAATATGGATGATACTACTTTGGTGATTTGTATGTGTTTTTGTGTTTTTACCTTTGGTTGCGCCGTAAACGGATCCAAAACTGACAGAAGCGACTCCGGCGACAGAGGACATGAAGACCAGGCTGGCCCCTTCCGAGTTCTTCAACAAAGGGTGCGCCAGCTGGCTCAAGTGGAAGGCCGACTCCAGGTTGGTGCCCATCAGCCACCTGAATTCCTCCACCGTGTAATCCACGCTCGCCTTCACTATGCTTGTACCCACGTTGTTCACCTGCTCCTCATCGTATAGTATAAATAGAATGGCATAGTTAGTAAAATACGGTACGGGAAAGTTACGTATAACGTACGTACGGGTATTTTACTTTATCTCTAAACTAATGTTACGTTTAATGGTACGGTAATAGTAATAAATATATAAAAATAATTATTTTAAATACAAATAATTATATAAATAATAGTAAATTTAATTATTAAATTCATTAAATACGGATATTAAATGTGTTATACGGGTGTTATACCGTGTTTAGTACGGGAGCCATCAAATGAACGGAAAGAAATGAAACGGTTTCACAATAATACGGATACAGAAGTTTCAAACGGATAAAAATACGTATGGGTACATATACGTGTGTTAAACGGAGTATTTACTCACTATGATATATGGTGCGACCGTAAGTACGTAACAAGTGGATCATCAAGACAATAATCTAACTAGCGATAAATAAAAACAGCAAGCTCGGCCTTCGCATACGAGTGATTGACTGATTGGTTAAGGTCATACTCGCTTTCGTTCTGACCGTCGGTGCATTTGTAAAAGAGAAGAATGTCAAAATAAAATGAGACAAGAATCACTTATCTATAGCTATTGGTGTTCAAATCAATACACCGATACTACAAAGCATTGTAAAGTTCTTCATCGACAACTAGTTTCTCTTCATTTATCGTCCAGGACACTTCTTTTGTCCCTTGTTTTGGGTTCTAATTAAGTCCATGATACAAGAAATCTAATAAAGTAAACCACAAGTTTATTAAAGCATACCACAAAATTTTCAAAGTAGATCACAAATTCTATAAGGCAGTCTCATAAAACATAACATAAGTCCCACAAAGCATACCACAACCCTCATAAAGTAAACTACAAGTTTATTAAAGCATACCAAAAGTGTTTTTTAAGCAGACCACAAGTCCCGCAAAGCATACCACAAGTTCGATGAAGCATACCAGAATTTTCATAAAACAGACCACAAGTCTCATAAAGTAGGGGTGGCTATACGGTCCGGTCCGGTTAAATTGGACCAAATTGATCCGGTCCCAGTCCGGTCTTTTCGGGAATATAAGGACCAAAGATTGGATTGGATACACTCCGGTCTTGATCCGGTCCGGTCTTGACCCGATCCGGTCCTAATTTGATCTTGATTTTAGGTGTTGGGGATCTCTTATCCGGTCTTTATCCGTTTTTTACCTCAAATCTAAGCCCGAATATGAGATTGGATTATTTGCTATCCGGTCATGGTCCGGGTTATACGGTCCGGTTTCGGGTAAAACCAAACAGTCCCGGACCAAATAGCCAGCCCTATCATAAAGCATATAAGAAACCTCATAAAGTATAGCACAAGTTTATTAAAGCATACCACAAGTGTTTTAAAGCATACCAAACCATCTTAAAACAGACCGCAAGTTTCCTGAAGCATATTAGAACTCTCATAAAACAAATCACAAGTTTTTTAAAGTAGACCACAAGTTTCTTAAAGCATACAAGAAACCTATTAAAGTATAACACAAGTTTATTCAAACACACTAGAAGTTTCTTAGTAGTGGACCTATATGTAAATTTTAAAAAGTAAATATCAAAATGTTAGGCAAAAAATTCAGGTACTAAAATATAACTTTCATCAATATTTTTAGGACTCATGTAAAAAATTAATTTTAGGTACTGAATATCAAGATCTATTAAATTTGGATATCAAACTATAATTTTATATGAAACTATATAATAAAGTACGTGAAGGAAGGGGAAAGAAGAAGGAAATAGGTAGTTACTATAATACTCTTATTAAAAGTATTAGTATTGTGCTATCACTTCATGGTGTTAGCAACCTATCTCCTCCAGCCCTGGATATGTTGTCTTTTAGTCCCATGTTTTTTCCTTTTCTACTTAACAGTTTTCTTCCTCTTTGGTTACTATGTGTTCTAATGTGCATTAGATACTAAGATACAAATTTTTTTTGTACACTATAAAAAAGATTATCAATTTTCTCTAGCCAATTGGTTGGAGTATAAAAAAATTTGATATCTCTTGGTCTTTAGGAATATTTAGTTAATGACTTTTTTTGTCAACGAATATTTCATTTAAAGTAGCTAAATGAAAAGTTCGTATGCTTAATAATAAAAATCCACATGTTACAAGTACTAAACAGATCTACATGATAGGCGGAGAGGAGAAGGGGGGCCAAATTAAGACGAAACTCGATGCGTCTTCGATCTTCTTCTTTTGCTCGTAGGAGGAAGAGGGTTTTCCAATGAGTTATTTGTGTTTCCGACGAGTGTTTGGTGGGAGTGAAGGAAGAAGCAGCGAACGGTCGTGAATGTGATGGATTTAGGGAGATGGAATTTGTGGGGCCCACCACTTTGGTGATGGATTTGGACATGGAAATATATCCATCATGGATTTGAACCGAAATCCATTGTTTGTCTTAGGGAATTAGGGAGATGGAATTTGTGGGGCCCACCACTTTTGGGGTTCCAAATCCGTGGACCCCACGGACTTGGAAGTTCCACCTCTTGAGGTGGGATTTGGGTGATGGATTAAAATCCATGATGGTAAATTACCTTTCTACCCTTAATTATTTCTTTAATTACAAATTTGTCCTACTTTAATTCAATGGTCATGCAACTGTAAACTTTTATAATTTCGTATTTTATAAATACGAGAATTTATCATTTCATTTTGTAATATCGTATTTTATTTAAATATGATTGTATATGTGATTTGTTAGATTCACCTAGAAACACTTTATGCTCATCTTGTACATTATTATTTGATTGATTGTCGGATTCCACATCGGTGAGTTAGCAAGAAGATGATGAGTTGTAGCAATAAAGCAAGCAATTGGCTGCAATTGATACATAATATTGCGTACATTATTAGATGAATTGTTTTTTTTTATGAAGGATTATTAGATGAATTTTTAATTAGTGCCAAGATGAATTGTTAATTAGTGCCAAATTGTAATACATTTCTATATTTGTAGTTGAATTACTAATCCACATAGTGGTAAAGAGTTTAAAATTTCTTTCTATGTTTTGGATTATTTTTAAATGGAAGATTTGGATTATAATATAGAAATATAATTAAATAAGGTAACTAGGTAATTTGTATTTAATATCCACAAATCTAATCAAACAAAGTCCACAATCAAATTCATCAAGCAAACAATAGACTTGTTCAAATTCATAATGCCACCAAATCCATCATATATCCATGGTTTTCCAAAACCCAGGTTTTACCAAAACTCTCATTTTTCAAATCCATGAAGCAAACGACCCGTAAAGGGTCTCGCGAAGGATAAAATGAATTGGGGCGGGCGAAAAAATTATTTTGGGGGTGCATGTGCTTCACTGTTCTTTCTCTCATGTAAATTCATTTTTACGCGATTTTAAATGTATTTAAAGTGTGTTTACCCCAATTCTTTTATTTGTATAGTGTATTGGATAATATTTTTAAGATGCAATATTTATGGGGAAAAAAATCCTCCGTACACTAATAATTTCCGTCAATCTAAAATTTGCCATAACATCTAAGCTATGTGGCTGATCCGTGACCATATAAAAGATATTATTGCATTTCTTATGCATGTACACGCCATTGCATTATTGCTATCATTATGTCTTGTCCTTTAGTGGGTAGGAAGTGTGTCGACAACCGATAAAAAGTGCGTAGGAAATTTTACCTTACAGACTGAAAAGACAACCCGTTGGAGGTATATCACTCAATTTGAGGTATTACTTTTTATTGGGTGGGAATTTGAGGTATTACTTAAACATAATAATCTTAATTAATCCACCACTAATCTAAATTAGTTTGAGTTTGGGTTGAAGCATTCCTAACCTTAATATAATTTGTTTGGATGAGTTATTCTGTAACGAGTTAATATAAAAATGGAATTCCTCACAAAATGAGAATGTGGTATTTGTGAGTTATTTTACAATAACTACCCCTATGAGGTATTGACAATAACTCATTAATGAGTTATTTCAAATTAACTCAAGTACAAATAACTCATCACCAACTTTTGTAGACAGACTGATTATTTGCACCCAAATAACTCAAAATGAGTTATTTATTGAGTTATTCGGGTGCAAATAACTCATACGAATAACTCATCCAAACGACCCCTCAAAAAAATATATAACGCAGTAAAGGTTAGACCTTAGATATAATGGTGGTTTGGATGAATTATTTTTATATGTGCTATATTGACATTAAATGATGTATTATTTTGTGAAAAACATAATCACAATTCACAAGTTCCCTCAAGCATTCAAGAAAACTTTGTAAAGCAGACTACAAATCCTCATAGGTATACCAGAAATCCCATAAATAGATCACAAATTTATTAAAACAGACCATCAACCTCATAACATAGAACCTATTTGTAAATCTTAAAATTTCTTTAAGTGTCAAAATGTAAGAAATAATCAGATACTAAAACATAATTTTTCATAAACATTTTTAGGACTTATAATACAAAATAATAAATTTTTTACACTAAGTGCTAAAATTTATGAAATTAACGTGCCAACTATAATTAGTATGTGAAATCCCAATGAAGAGAAAAGAGAAAAGATACTCTTATAACGTTAATTAGTATAAAATCCTTATATAATAAGTCTTAGTTGGTACGTACGAGGATGTGAAGCTTGGCGTGGAAGTGGGAAGCGACTTTGTCCATCAGCTGCTGGCGCTGAGGCGGAGATGACACGTCACACACGGAGCCGCTCACCGTGAAGCCTTTGGACTTCCATTGGGCTAGGCAGCCGTCGAGCTCCGCTTCGTTTCGCGCGCAGGTGTACACGCTTGCCCCGAGCCCGGCCAGCTCCTCCACGACGGCGAATCCGATCCCTTTCGTGCCGCCGGTGACGAGCGCCGTCGTTCCTCCGAGCGACCACTTGCCACTCCCTGCAGCCACCGCCACTGCCATTGTATTATGGAGCTTATTGCAACTTTACTCCAGACGCTTCCTTTATATATAATAATAATAATAATAATGATATGGGACCATATATATTTATGATGATATGATCGTGAATTCGTGATACAAAAGAAAAGATGGTTGGGTTGTGCCCCACGGCCACTTATTGGACTTCTCTTACTTCGTTCCCGATATTTCACTGTCCCGCATCTGGTAATTGTGATGTCCAATCTGGAGAAATATCGACCTGCCAATGCCGTGATTGGGATATGACAGATGCAAGGTGTCAAGGTAAGGCTGCAGGGGACAGTTTCTGCAAACAAATATGATATTTGCTACCCCTTCTTTACGCCTTTTTTCCCCCCTACGGTGCTTAATGAACAATGTAATATTTGATGAATCTTTTTTCGATAAGATATAGTCCGCTTTGAATTCAGATTCTCTTGAATTTTGCTTTGAAGTGCATATTATGGTGATTTCTTGAAAGGTGACCCATTCTTTCAGTGTTTCAGATTGAACACGTATAATTTCGGAGTTCTTACAATAACTATTCCATTTAAACTCAAAATACGTTTTTTTTTTTTATGTAACACGTTAGGGGAATCCCATATCAATAAAGCATGAGAGAGAACCATGAGTTGATGCGATATCAACCAATACGATATATAAGTGCCGTGGTCCAAAAACGAAAATGTGGATTCGGTGATTTAAAGATAAATTGAGGCAATTTATTTGTTGCTGCCACTCGAGGACGTGAATAATTGAGCATGGCTGGAGGGTTTATCGCAAGCAGCTCCGTGGGTCTATTATAGTCACATGCAGACGTTTGCTTCCATGGGTGAAAAGCAAAGCTAGCTTGGACCTTTGTGCTCCATCTGGTCCAATTAAAGCTTTGTTCATTTTTTTTGTTTTTGTTACTCGATTTGTGTTGCTATTGCATGTGATCGTGATGTGTGATGGTTTTAAGATCTAGGAAACTCCTACCATGCTTTGAAGTTATTATAACTTGATCTTTTTGACTCGCTATAACAGGTTTTATAGGTCGCGTTACGTAAACCTGGTGTTTATTACGTAACAATTACGTAATGCTTGTTAATCTTACGTAACAGTTAAACTATAAGCGTTACGGAAGGTTTTCGTAATGACTTATCATTTTACGTAACGCTAGGTTAATATTCATTACATAAAAACATCGTCTAACTGTTACATAAAATACACGCTCATTACGTAAATGTTACGTAACGAAGGTTATTTCTTACGTAACAATTAAATTAGAAGTGTAACGTAAGACTTCTGTAATGACTTACCACATTACGTAATTTGATTAATATTCATTACGTAAAAGGACCATCCATTACATAAGGCTTCCGTAATGCCACTTTACAACTATTACGTAAAGTATGCATCTATTACGTAAAGGTTACGTAACGATAGTTATTTCTTACGTAACAGTTAAATTAGAAGCGTTACGTAAGTCTTCCGTAATGATTTAACAGATTGCGTAACGAAAGGTTAATATTCATTACGTAAAATGAGTGTCTATTACGTAAGGTTTCCGTAATGACATTTTTCAACTATTACGTAAGATAAACACACATTACGTAATGCCTATTGTATTTTACGTAATGCGACTTATGAAACCTGTTATAGCAGGTCAAAAACATCAAATTACAATAACTTCAAGGTATTGTAGGAATTTCCCAAGATCTATAAAGCAACACTAGGGCGACAAATCTTGCTAAGCTTTTACTGTTTGAATGCAAATTGTTGTTACAAACATCAACCAGTTAGGCAAAGTTTCCCCTGGGTGTAGTAGGGTAATGCAGTATGATTTGGTCATATTTCCAATTGATAAGTTCTTCTTGCTTTGTACTACTTATTGCCTGTTTGACTGCTATTGTTGAATGCAAACTACTTACTGTCTACTTTTAGAAATACATCATACTGATTCTGCCTTTTGGCCTCTTTGATCTTGAAACCTTTGATCATTTATGCATAAATCCCTTTCCAACCTTATTTCCTTTTGCAGGTGGATTTCAAATTCTTTGCTTGAGATTTGAGACCCCTGCTGCACTTAAGGAACACCAGTAATTGAAAGTTAGTTTAATTTAAATGCAACGTCAGAATGAATAGAAGTTGGTTAAAGTTGAAGGATCGATTTTGTGCTGACTATAGGAATGGTGTTGAACAATTTTTAAATGTTGAAGGATCGATTCTATATAGAGGACTTTCGTCCGAAAGTCAACCAGGTTATTTTTTAGACATAAAAACATTACAAACATTGTGGACAAAAATGACAAACATGTTGGACAAAAATAATAAAGCTTCCACACATTACAAAATGAACCGACAAACAGTACAAAGCATACTAACCATACAGAATACCACTACTCACAATAGAAATCAGTAAACTTGTATTACAAACCAATGAATACAAAGTATACAAATCACAACATAAAAGTATACAAACTAGACAAACAAACATTACACATTACCATATATACAAAATATTCATATAAACATTACAAATTACAAGATGGAGAGAGTCAGTTTGTAACGCTTCGAATTTCTCGGGAGAAAAGAAAACCTAGCGAAAACCCTAACTGGTAAGCTTCTCAATGGCCGCGGCAAACATGTTGAACAACCCTAATTGATAAACGTTACAAACATGTTGTAACAACCCGATCTTTTTCGAAAACCAAGCCATAACTTAAACCGAAAACCGGTTACTCCGGAGCAACCCAAACCCTTTTTTAAAATAAACAAATTGGCATCATTTAAGAATTTCAAACGAAAAGCCCTAACACTTGGGCAATCACAATCCAAATACTTAAATTAATTGAACCCTGAATTTCCCGTTTACAATCCCAACCATGCAACAAGGTAATTAAACTATTCTAGCTCTGACTCCTCACGAGCTCCTTGACTTCTCATCAATGTTGGTACGGCTGCTCGCCTCGCCTTACTTCTTCTCGGGAACTACCTCTGCTAACCCTTCCTCAACCTGGTGAGCGAGAAGGGGTCAATCTCGTCGTTACTTCCTAAGGTCTTGCCCTAAGCAAACCCTTACTAAGCACATTCTTAGGGTTTCCTCCCTTAGACGAAAGTCGTTCTCCCTTCATCCCTCGTACTTTATTACTCAATAACTTACGGAATATCTTTACTCCTAACCTTATCTTATAGAAGTTATTTACTTCTATCCTTAACTCATACACATAAATACTAGGGACCATCGAGTTACGTATCGCCATCCGGTGTACCTATCCTCAAGGCAATGGTACTGCGTTACATATCGTCGTCCATGCCCGGTCAACTACTGCGTTACGTATCGTCGTCCAGTAGTGACCCAATATCCTCGATCAACTATTGCGTTACGTATCGTCGTCCAACAGTGATCCGATCAGCTACTGCATCCAGTAGTGATCCAACCGCCCGGGGGTTCATCTTACCATTAATTTGGGTTAGTTATGTACTTATCTTCTACCTTGTAGTGTTCCCTTTCGTGAAGAGGTCACCAGCTTGGCCATCAATCGAATCCATGGAAATATTCAGGAATATGACACAAAAACTTCATTTCCTCTCTCTCATGGAGCGTGAAGAGTATTGTCGTGAAGGTGAAGTCATTAGTATGATCATAACTTTCTCCAATCTTATGCAGACAATATCCAATCTTTGGATCCATGGTGTCGACACTTTGTTGAAGGACATTCTCATCAATTTATCTGAGTTGGAGAGACAAGGATTTGAGGTCATTGTGACACAAGGTAGTATCAACAAGCTGTTGTCAATCAAACAAGCAATCAAGAATGCTGAAGATGAGATACAGAAGTATGAGGATGAGATGACAGCCTCGAATGCCACGATCGAGGAAACCGAAAAGAAGATATCGGCATTGCAAGAAACACTGGTTGAATCCAATGCACATTTGGATGGCAAAAAAAGATATGGCTAAAGTTGTGCATTCACCTACTGATAAATTGAAGCGCCGCATCAACAATGCCCCAACCGAGTTCGAATATTTAACTAACAGCCTTGGAGATAGATGGTAGAATTAGATAGTTAAGTTGAGGTAATTAGTAGTATGTATTCAGCCTATGTAGATTTAAATCCCTCTTTCTTTGATGGACTATGGTCTATCTTGTAATGCATGAAATATTAGCCAACACGGGTTTGGGTTCTTTGTTATGTACATCGTGGTACGAGTTACAAGCAACGAGAGACTTTATCTTTTATCCACCTAAACTCATAGATCAGTTCATCAGGTAATGTGTAATGACATGATTAAGTTTCATGTAGCCTTACCATTTAAGGAGAAACAAACGTGATCAAACGAGGGCATAATCGGATAAGGCATGGTTATAGGACAATAGGTAGGATTTTTTAAAATAGAAAGAATTTTCAAAACAACATACTAGGACTTGCACAACTTATTATCTTATCTTATCTTCTTAATTTTAATCTTAATCTTAATCTTCTTAAACGTGATCAAAGGAGGGCATAATCGGATAAGGCATGGTTATAGAACAATATGCAGGATTTTTTTTAAATAGAAAGAACTTTCAAAACAAAATATTAGGACTTGCACAACTTATTATCTTATCTTATCTTTTTTAATTTCAATCTTAATCTTCTTAATATATATATTATTTTTGTTCAAAAACAATTTCTTACCAAGGTAGACAATCTTTTTACAAACAAAAAAGTTAGTTAATGATCTATTTATGGTGTTATCTCTCTTTTATTTTAATAATTTTGTTTTTTTATTCAATAATTCATTTTTTTTGTATTATACCTATATTTGTAACAATAGACTAATGTTTGTAGAGTGATACATATTGCATTTTTTCAAATCAAAATATCTTATTAAACTTTATCATGTAAACTTCTACATATTTTTACTAAACTCAATAATAAGTTACCTTTTGTTCAAAATTTTAAACAAACACATGCATAAATAAAATATAATTTTATCGATTAAACAAAATATAAATATGGAAAAAGAGAAAAACATTGTTAGACAATCGACTTTCAAAAGTAAACTATATTATTTTGTATTTTGTTATTAAATACTCTCTTATATCTAATGCATATCTATAAAATAAAACGAGTATTGTATAGCAATAGGTCTAGATATAAACTGTGATGAAGTAAATGTATTATATGATATGTTTGGATGTTAGAGTAATCTTTGTTGACGATGTACGATAAACATTATATTTGATATACCATTGACATAGCATTGATCAAAGTGTCAAAAAAAAAGTTTTAGTTTGTAATAGTAAGCATTATGTATTTTGATCGACTTATTGTAGCCACAAAATTTTATTTTCATATTCCACCGATGAGGTGAGTTCAAAGCTCTTAATTCATATGTATGTGAAATGTCACAATGTTTGTATGAGTTTTAACATTTTAATAAAAAATATACTTTTCAAAAAATAATAATTTAACTAGTCAAATAATATGGCGTTTTTAATGTACATAAACCTATGTGCATTGTAGACATGCTTTGCAATTATTAAGATATATAATGAAAATTTTGTTTCAGAATTAGTACCAAAGATAAGGAAAATTTTGCAAATGCACATTTAAAAAGTTGGAAACTTATACACCAAAGGATAGGGATGACAATTAGGGCTGACTATTTGGACCGGGACCGGATGAAAAACCGGAAACTGGACCGTATAACCCGGACCGGGACCGGATAGTAAACAATCCAATCCAATCTTTGGGCTTAGATTTGAGGTAAAAAACCGGATAAGAGAGCTCAACACCCAAAACTTAAGGGTAATTTGCATAAACGGTCACAAACCTTTACACTTAGTACAAAACTTAACCAACTCCTCACCCTTTTAGGCCTTAGGGCACTCAAATTCCCACAATCTCAATATAAAATCAAGACCGAATTGGGACCGGACCGGGTCAAGACCGGTTCGGATCAAGATCGGACTATTTCCAATCCAATCTTCGGTCCTTATATTCTCAAAAAAACCGGACTGGACCGGATCAATTTGGGCCAATTTAACCGGACCGAACCGTATAGCCATCCCTAATGACAATGGGGCGAGTTTTGCCAAACCTAAACTCAAACTCATGGGTTCATCCGCAAAAAAAAAAATAAAAACTTGCGGTAAAACCTAATGGGATCATAAAACTCAAACCCAACCCAACTCGTTGGGTCGATGGTTCGTGGGTATTGTCACGGACCAACTCTTGAGAATCTTCCACGTGACAGTGCCCGTGGGTTTTGTGGCAAAAAATTTACAATAACAATTAACAAGAAACTATCAAAATAAAAAATCAAGCATCAATCTCACCATACAAACTATCCATACATAAAAAACACCATTCTAGAAAATTCAACCAAATCACACACTATCCATACCAATCTAGAAAATTCATGAAAGTCATAAATTATCCATAAACAACATGATTAATTGAAAGTTTCCTTCTCCTTGAGAACTTGAACATTGTCATCTTAGCTTCAATCTCCGATCCATAACATCAACTTCATTATACACAATTAGGTAGACCAAAATTAGATATGTCTCCACAATCATAAGGAAGATGAGTTGCTTGAAGAAGATATACTACTCAGAATATTAAATATACCGGTAACATGAAGCACAATTTGGATCTTAGTCATCATTAATGGTGGCATAAATGATAGGACCATAAATGATGAGCTTATCGATTGTTTCCAAGCAATCTACAAATAGAATAGCAAGTTAGCAAAGAGTGGTAGCCAACAATTTCATAACTCACAACAAATATTAAAGTTTTTGTGTGAAAATTGATTTATGGGGTGTGGGCGGGTATCCATGGATCGAGTATCTCTAAACCCAAATCCAACCCAAACCGGTGAATTGTAGATGGGTTTAAATCCGAACCAGGCCCAAAACCCGTTAATATTAATAAAAATAATTTTCCAATTAAATAAAAACAAAACTTAAAAATATAAAAAAAAAAATTCCAATTAAATAAAAACAAATTCACAAACAAGTAAAACAAAAAAGGATTCGCATCTGCCCACTCCTCTCGTTATATACCAATCCCTTGCCCCAGCTCCTCGTCAGTTAAGTGAGGTTGATACTTCGGCGGCGTGACGAGATCCGGATCCAGGTCCTGCGAAAATCACATCTACACTCGTATTGAACGCCAAAACCAAAGCCATCGTCTCGTTCCCGATTCGGCGCCATCCCAATGTAATTATGGGCTTCTTTGCATGGTGGATTTAAAAAATAAGGTTTTGGTATAATTTAGGTTTTGTAAAATCATACACATATGAGAGTTTTGAACTCATTATGGATTTGGAAAATACCATTGTTTATTTCATGGATTTCATGATGAATTTTGGTAATTAAATTTGTTTGTATGAAGTGAAACTTACCTTTATTGCCCTTAATGATATAAGAAAAAAAAAAATATATGAGGGATAGCTTGATAAAATATGATCAATTCTCACCTAAAGAGGTGAGATTTTCAAGTCCATGGGCCCCACGAATTTGGACCCTCGAATTCCATGGGTCCCATGGATTTGTTACCTCTAAATACTTGAAGCAAACAATGGATTTTGGACAAAGTTCATTATGAAATCAAATTCATCACCAAATCCTTCATCAAATTCATCAAGCAAACAAGCCCTAAAAGGATTCGGCGAGTTTCGGTGGAAATCGGAACTTAAAACCCCGATCGTATTCCCCGCGTAGTATGTCTGCAGAATGAAAAAGGGGCTGCTGCTAATCGAGAAGGAAGAAGACGAGCTCGTGGTCACAGTAGAAGGAAGAAGGAGTACTAATGTATTTACTGAAGTTACGCAATATAAATGACACTTTCTCGCTACATGTTGATATTTCTCTAACGGTATTAGCCCTAATAATATTTTCGGTATCATGATTCCGAGTGAACATCTCGTGGCCTCTCTGAGTCTGTCCTGACTCGTGCGGGCGTGCGATTCTGTGGATGGGGAGGCAAAGGCCATTAAGCAAATGCTATAAGGAGATGAAAAGCCGGCCGCATCCATTACAGAAGAGTGCTCTGTTCTTGCTGAACATGATATATCATGAGCAACCTCTACATCATCACCGTATAAGAAGAGGAGCATACACTACGACTATGCAACGGACTGAGTGCATATTGATTGCTTTTGGGAACAATTGCAACTTGCCATTGTTTAAAGAAAAAACGGTTGAACAAGGACACTACTATTTGGAACTACAAGACCTCCACCCATCCATTAACCTCACTGAATCATATTATCTGCACTTCTACCCGTGACCATGCTGTTTCCTATACCAACCAACTTCAACAAAAAAGCGTACAGCCTAGTATGAGCTACTCAGCAAAACACAATCAAAGCGAAAACTCAGCTTCAACCATATCATTGTAACCCAGTGTGAATGAGAGCTCTCAATGATCAGGCAGTTCTGAATGTGCTCACTTATGAATTTGAACTTCAAATACCTTGCAACATGAGCATGAAAGAAACATCAATAGGTTGTTTCCTAGTACGCGCTACTCAGAAAAAGGCAATCAAAGTGAAAACTCCTATCGAACCCAGTGCGAACGAGTTCCGTCAATGATCAGGCAGTTCTGCATGTGTCCGCTTATGAACTAGAACCTCAAATAATTTGCAACATGAACATGAAGGAAACATCAGTAGGTTGTCCATATAATGGAACCGCACTATCTTATTATCACCAATCTCATCATAAACATCCATGGAAAATTGGCAATTCAAACTTTTCTACACACATCACACATGCCAATGTTAAGGGTGCGGGGAGTCGAGTCCTTGAACCTAGATCACCATATATATTCATTAACAACAAAATGACCCCAATACAATTCTCAATCTGCAAATATATAGGGTATAACCTAATTAGAGAAGCCTGCCAAAAGAAATAGAATGACTACCAATTATTGTCTGGTTGAGATCCCCGATAGTTTATACTTTATATAACAAACACAGTGAACTCGAGGAGGTACTTCACCTGATTCGATGTTCATATGTTCACAGTGTAGCCCTGCACATAATCCACTCGAGCACGAATCAAGTTGTCAATTATTTCATCTACCAATTGACCAAAAGGCTTACTTAGTATCAACGGCAATCAGTGAATTGAAATAATGAGCAGACCTGTAATGCATCGTTTTCATTCTGAAATCAATACTCTTTTCATATCAGCAGATAACCATGTAAAGCGAGACAAGGGCACATCAAACTTGACAAGTACTTATAAGAACAAAATAATTCCATAAAGTGAAATTCACAAGTAACAGCAGACATCAGCATGCTTAACTAAAGCTGACAACCATTAATAACACAATATAACAATTCTCAACAAAGGGAAAACAATCATTACCAGTAAATATAGCAGGAAGATCTGGATATAGGGGGCAGTCAAGAGAATAGCTCAGGAAATCCATCATTTATCCATTTCAGCTGCCAGCAGTAAACACAGACTAACATTAAAAGGTTATCAAAAATAACACATCCATTCATAACAAAAGGTCCTAGAAAAAAGTAAAACAGCTTAGAAACAAAAGATCATTTGAGATTATCCAAGATCGCAAAAACGCAATGACATGACTTAGTGGTCAATGCTCTTCTTTGCTTTCAGCGATTCAAGAGCCTTCTTCCTTAACTCAATCTCTAGCTTTTTCTGTTCGGAATGCTCCTCTTCATCATCACTCGAAGAATACATTTTTCCCCTAGCTGCGTGGTCATCATCAGAAGAATCATCATCTCGCTTCTTCAGTTTCAGCTTCTCGGCCTGTCTCTCTCCTCTTTTACGGTGCCGCTCCTCACGTCTACGGCGTTTTTCCTCCTTGCGTGATTTCTTCTCTTCTTTCCTCCTCTTCTTAACCTCTTTCCTTTCTTCAACTTCAGAATCACTTTCATCATCAGATGATGATTTTCCATGCCTATGTGATCTTTTATGCTTTCTTTTTTCCTTGCCCTCGTGCTTACCACTTCTGTCTGAATCAGAATCAAGTCTACTACCACCATTACTATTCTCAACGTTTTCAATTGAAGTTATAGTATCAGGTTTGCCGTGTCTATCATCTTTCATAAAGTGCCCATGAGAAAGGCTGCCAACAGACTTCTGAACATCTGCTAGGCTCTCCACGGGAGACTTCTGACCCTCCCAAGCTTTAGCATGCCCCTTCCTTCCATAAGATTTCTCACTGCTAGAAATGAGATGCAAATATGTTAGGTTGCATGTACCTCTTCAACCCATCAATATAACCAGGATAGATTCTTTCTGCTGCACATTACTACCTCCTTGTTTCCTGATCTTTCTTCCCTGGTTCTGTCATATAGTGGCTTCTAGACTTTGTTTGATGGCCTGAATTGATTTCAGGAGACTGTTTGCCCTTATATTGAACTTCCACGAGAGAATCCTTCAACCTACTAGCAAATGTTTTATGTGAAGGTTAGATGTATTGTTATCACCAACGTCACAAATGAAAACACCAGTGGGTAGAAAGATAACAGTCATGGTTACAGTACTAATAAGAAGTTTTATTTACAAATCCTCACCGAGAACGGTTATTTCCTTCACCCTCTTTGCTATCGTCGGAGCTTTCATATCGAGATCTTTTATCTTTTGGTTGTGGCGGAGGACTAAGGTTGTGCTCTGGATGCAGCTCCATCATTTGCCTTGGAATACTATCATACAATAGCCAACAGATCAGAACTGTTAGTGTAATTACTAAGAACTACATCTAGTTGATTTAAGTAATGCAAATCATATATACCTTTTGTCATTATTGTTACTAGTTTTTTTTATGGGTGGTGGAGATTCCGATTGGACAGGAGACGCCTCAGGTGAAGACAACGGTGCAGGTGATCTCTTTCTCCAATCCTTCCGTTCCTTAGCATCTCCCAGAGGTGACCTCAACTGCCCAGATTGAGCCTGTACAGGAGAGGATATTTCCCGACTCCTTTAAAGGGAGACTTGGTCAGCATCACAACTCCAAATTCAAATATAAAGTAAGAAAGTTAAGGAGCTACGAACCCACCTAAGTTTTCCTTGTGATGATTGACCTGTAGATCTTTGCCGAATAGGAGATGGAGATCTTGAAACAAACGGTGAGGGTGACCTTTGACGTGTACGCACTGGTGATCTTTGCCGGGTAGGGGCAGGAGACCTACGTCTTGCTGGAGATCGAGACCTACGTCTTGCTGGAGATCGAGACCTACGTCTTGCTGGAGATCGAGACCTACGTCTTGCTGGAGATCGAGACCCACGTTTAGAACTAGGTGGAGACCTTTCATATCTACGGCGTGGTGGGGAAGGTGATCTCCGCTTTAGTGGTGAAGGAGATCGATTATGCAAAGGTGACGGCGATTGACGGCTCTGTGGCGATGGGGATCTGCGCCTTCTAGTAGGAGAAGGGGTCCTGCGGCTTCTAGCAGGTGACCTACGTTGTCGAATAGGTGAGGGAGATCTCCGGCGTCGCATGGGTGAGCGTGATCTACGCCTCCTGCGAGGTGGGGATGGTGACCTGGGCCTCCGAACCGGTGAAGGTGATCTACGGCGTCGAATGGGTGAAGGTGATCTGCGGCGGTAAGGAGATCGCAACCTACGCCTTACTGGGGACGGGGACCTGCTAATTGAAGGTGATCTGGATCTTTGTCTAACAAAGGATGACCGCCTCCTCAGAGGTGAATTAGACGCACGTGGTGAATGCTCCCGACCAGGAGTAACTGACCGTTTTCTACGCCGTTCAGAAGAAACCGAGCGATGTCGTGCATAAGGTGATCTTGAAAAGCTTCTGGGCTTTATCCTTCCACTAAGAAATTAACAGAGAGCATCAGAACCCATAATATCCGTTAAATAAAGCACTCAAGTATAGGTACAAGGTGGATACACACCTAGGAGAGGAAGGTGAAAGATCACCTCGATGGGGAGACTTAGAGACCCTGAAAAATTCATAGATAGAAGTTATACTTCCAGGCTGATACACTCTTCATTCACAATTCTCATCCATGTAAATTTGGCTCCAGAAAATCAAATGCAAGATACCACCACTAAAGGATTGATCTTGATAGAATAAAAGTAAGGCATAGTCACATGTTTATTTTTCCATGTTCCTCGCACAAAATTCGCACTCTCAGTTACTACCCCGAGCAGATCAGGGTTGGATACCTCTAGTAACTTCCAAACAGAACAGGTAATCAGTAATTTCTGCTCTTGCTGGCAAGTAAACAACACGGCACGTTCCAAAGCAGTGAAACAATAACTGTGATGTTTAAAACAGTACATAGCTAGACAACCAATCCACAGTTCTCGAAATTGAGGCACTGCAGAAACAACTACAAAAATAGAAAGAATAAAGCAAGGGCATTGACACCCAAAAACAAAGTTCCTAACCTGCTCCGTCCCCTCGACCCGTTTCTTATTTCAGCTTCTTTCTCATTATCAAAAGCACCACTTGAACCCTTTAATTGTATCTGTTTTGATCTAGGATCCACAGAGGTATTATTGGCCTTTGTCTCAGCACCACCGTCCTACAGTAGTTTGAGGTAAAGGACATGAACCCAAATAATTGCAGAAGCTAGCTGAACGCCATGAAAAAACAAAATAAAGTTACAACCAGAAACCCAATTTGTAACAAATGTATTACTGGCATGAATAAGTTAGTATTACCATCTTCCTCTGGCGCATCAACTCGGAATCTATATTCTCCTTCTCTTTCTTTTTCTGTATCTCAGCAGTTATCCGATCTCTTTCTGCCTGGAACAACAAAGAGTCACTCCTACCAGGCCTTCAACAAGCAATTTTAGTAACAAAAGCTACAAGACATGAAATTATTTCTAACCTGCTTCTGCCTAGTTTCTTCTTCTTTGGCATCCAAAAGCTGTTGAGGAACGCCACTGGCATTCTTCTGGGCACTGATAAGAAGGGACCAGAGCTCCTTCATAAACTTTCCAGTGTTCTTTTCCATGAAGCCAGTAAGTTGTATCTGGACCGCTTTCCCATTAACTGCCTACATCAGAAAAAACCAGAAGTCCACAAAAACTTTAACCATCTTACGCAGTTGAAAGCTGACCAAACGCATGACTTTACAACAAACCCGGCATAAGAAAACAATTCTGAAAACAACAACTGAATCTTGTGATTGATTGCTCGATTTTAGTGGGAATAGAACGGCTCTGCAAGCTATACAATTCCCAAAACCATCATTCATTTCAAGTAGTGACGACGGACGAGTGAAGAAATAAGCAAGGGGCACATTTCCATTCAGATAAAGGCATTGAAGAGAAAATATGGAAAAGCCAACATTTTTGTTATACCTTAGTGTCGAGAAGGCCGTAAATGAAGTTGATAAGAACTTCGTCCTCAAAACCAAGAAGCTCAGTCACCCTATTAGCAATCCATGGTTTCATAACATCCATTTTCACTTTAGTCATATCCACCTAATAAACCCAACCAAAGAGCAATGAAATGGTGTAAAAACCACCCAATTCGAGGAAGAACAAAACAAGTAAAATGGTCCGAAACCGCTCAATCGACAGTCCAACCAAATACCAGGTGTTCCAATTCAGGAGCAAACTTCTGCGACTTCATCAGCTTCGCTTGCTTGTTAGAAAACCGAGTGTCTTGCTCGGCGGACGTACCCTTCAAAACAAAAAAGGAGAAGAAGCGCAAACAATCGGGTTCAGAACCGAGATCCGCAGAATTGATCAGCGCAAGGGCAGCAGATATCGATATAATGATTCCTAGAGAAGCAATTACCCGGAAAAACCCGCCCGACATTTCCTAGGGTTTCTGGATTCCTTCAGCTGGTAATGGGAAATGGTGAATTGAGGCGAAAATGAAATCCCCCTGCAATCAATCAGACATGGATAAGGGGAGCGCGCGATAGAGAGAGATCTCTGCATGAATGACAGAAAGGAAGGGAGAGATTTACAGAAACAGGTCTGGAGAGCGCAATTTCGTAAGTTAGGTGGCGCGGGGAAGAACTCGCAGTCTCCACCTCCAACTACGCAATTTGGCTTAGACAAAGTTCCTTTCTCTTTCCTTCCTTCCGCTTCCAGTCACTCTCGCGAGTTTCGGTTTTAGGGCTAAAACGAAGTAAAGAAGAGAATGAAGACGGGGTCGGTGATTTGCTTATCTATCTATTTCCTTGTCCGAGAATGACTATTGCCAAGGTTGTCATGAAGCTGGAGATAGGAATGACAATGGGTCGGGGACGAATAGTGCATATCCGTTAACATATTTAAAGTATTTCGGATTTTACCAATATCAATACTCACATGTAAAATGCGTAAAAAATCAAAATCATGCCTATACTCGTTTGGGTTTCGGGTATCTACGGTTATTCATGGGTATTAATTTCTCTTCATAACTCCAACCAATATGTTAACATTCACACGTATTCTTACATTACGTAAAAGAAAATTAAATGTACGACAAGAATTCACTAGAATGAAGAAAATTAATTTAAACAACACAATTTCATGAAAATATTATATTTATATGCTAAATATAAAATATTTAGAGAAAAATAATGATTATTTCTAGACAAAATACATATGCATGTGTATAATCGGGCGGGTTCGGGTCGGATAGTGAGAAACCCATGTCCACCCATTACCCGCAATACTCGGGTTCGGATTTTACCCGTACTCACTAAATGTCATTTGGATTCGGATTTTACCCTACCCTATTAGGCGGATTCAGACGAATATCCACGGTTACGGATATTTTTGTCATCCCTAGCTGGAGGTGGTCTGTCGTCGATAGAATTGGATTTAATCAGTATTGGTTGGAATATTGCAGTATGAATGGTATGATCAATTTTTTATTTTAACTAAAATAATATTTATTTTTTTGGTGAATTTAATTAAATAATAATATTTTTTTTTTTCAATTTAAAATTTAAATGTTGATGTTATTTGTTGGATTCAAATATACTTGTTTAGACGTTTATGTTATTTGTTGAATTCAAGTATAAACTTTTAGATGTTTGCGTTAAATGCAGTGTTATTAAAACTGAGCCGAGCCGGTCGATCCGACCGGTAGAACCGCCATCCGGTCACCAAACCGGCTCGCGTGCAGTAAAAAAGCCGGAATGATTGTTAGAATGATTTTTGGAGCGGTCGAGGCGGTTAACCGCTCGAGCCGCTCGTCCGGTTTCTCCATTCTAGTCGTTAAGTTTAATTATTAAATAAAAAATAATAAACGAAAAAAATCAAAATTCAAATCGGCTGTCTTGAACGACGAAACTCAACCAGAGAGTCGTCCCTCTCAAGCTCTCTCCGTCGAACACAGGTCCTGCGGAGTGTGACGAACCCAGCGAGGGCAACCGTCGGCGAACCCAGTGTAGAAATAGCTCAAGGAGCTTAGGGTTTTGTGTAAAAGAAGAAAGAGGCGGTATAGAATTGGGAAAACCCGCAAGGAGAGAGATCTCTCCAGCATCTCATATATATATCAGTACAAAGTAGAGTAAACATTACACTACAGTAAAACTGGAAATGGAAGTTTAAAAACAAAACAGAAATACGAAAATGAGCTGTAAACAATAGCCACATGTCTTCTCATCATTGGCTCTCTTTGGCTCCACCTAACGGTCGACTTCAAGCTCCACGACACCGTTTTGCTCTCCGCTTTAGTTAGGTGGAAGGGAAGGCAGAAACGTTTCGTTTCTGCCTTGGTTTCTTCTTCAATCATTTTGTTCTTCTTCTTCTTCACACGAGCAGAGCATCCTGCTTGACTGCAGGCCATCAATCTTCAGTTTCCAAGTCTGATACTCCCCCACAAGCTGGCGAGTAAGCATTGAACACTCCCAGCTTGTCCAACAAGAATTTCAGACGATATCGTGTGACTCCCTTAGTAAAAATATCAGCAACCTGATCATCTGTTCTTATATGACTCAGCTTGACTAATCCAGACTTCATCCTCTCTCTTGTGACATGACAGTCGATTTCTATATGTTTGGTTCGCTCATGAAACACTGGGTTCTCAGCAATGTGTAGAGCAGATTTATTGTCACAGAAGAGATTGATTGGAAGAGGTACCTGTACTCCCATTTCTAGCAACAGGTTTCTGAGCCATTGCACCTCACAGACCACTTGTGCCAAGGCCCTGTACTCTGCTTCAGAAGATGACCTTGAGACTGTAGTTTGTTTCTTGGTCTTCCAAGTGATCAATGAACTCCCCAGGAAAGTACAATATCCTGTTAAGGATCTTCTAGAATCAGGGCAACTCGCCCAATCTGCATCACAGTAACCTTGCAGCTCAAGTTTTGAGTCAGCCCTAAACAACAAGCCTTGTCCAGGTGTTTGCTTCAAGTATCTGATAACCCTGTGTGCAGCCTGAAGATGTTCAACACAGGGATTTGCCTGGAACTGTGCTAGTTGCTGAACTGCATAAGTTATGTCTGGCCTGGTAATGGTGAGATAGTGTAATCTGCCTATTAGTCTTCTGTAGACAGTGGCATCTGGCAATGATTCCCCTTGAGCAGCTGATAGTTTGACATTACAATCCACAGGTGAGAGACAACCTTTAGCTTCCAAATACCCTGTGTCAGTCACCAATTCAAGACAGTACTTCTTCTGGCTCAAGGAGATCCCTTTGTGATCCCTCAACACTTCCAATCCCAGGAAATAACTCATCTGACCAAGGTCCTTAACCTTGAATTCTTTGCTCAGGAAGAGCTTCAGCTGTTCTATGTCTCCCAAATAGCTTCCTGCAATCAGTATATCATCAACATATACTAACACAACAACCACTCTTCCTTGAATCCATCTCACAAACATAGAATAGTCTGAGGCAGTTTGTGAGTAACCATTTCTCATCAATGCATTGGTTAGCTTAGCAAACCACTGCCTACTAGCCTGCTTGAGGCCATATAAAGACTTCTTAAGTCTGTAAACCAGACCTTGATCTCTAGGAACATTAGCTCCAGGAGGAATTTCCAGATACACTTCTTCCTCCAAATCTCCATGTAAGAAGGCATTTGATACATCCATCTGATGTATATGCCATTCCTTGGAAGCAGCAACTGCTAAAAGTGTTTTAACTGAATTGATCTTGGCCACAGGAGAATAAGTGTCCAAGAAATCAATCCCATAAATCTGAGTGTAACCCTTGGCTACCACTCTAGATTTAAACCTTTCAATAGTTCCATCTGACTTAAGTTTGATTTTGAATACCCATTTTGATCCTACTGCTTTCTTTCCCTTTGGCAACTTTACCACTTCCCAGGTCTGATTTTCTTCTAGAGCTGCCAGTTCCTCATTACAAGCTTGATTCCATCTGGGATCTTTACAAGCTTCTGCATATGAGGTAGGTTCCTCATTTAACATCACACTCATGGCAAAAGCCCTCTGAGAAGGGGATAATTGCTCATAAGAGAAGTGCTGCCAGACATGATGCTTGGAACATGATGCTGCAATGTTGAAGCGATAATCCTTGTGCCAGGCAGGCACAGTCTTGTTCCTTGTGGACTTGCGGATAAATGCAGCATCATCAGTGTCATTAGGGTCAGGAAACACTTCAATCTCAGCATCCTCCCCCCCAGAATGCAAACCAACCACATCAGGTAACAAAGAAGGTGAAGAAGAGTCCTCAGAAGAGGAAGTAGAAGAAGAAGGTGAGGATATGGGGATGGTGGCATTCTGAGCAGAAGAAGAAGGGAGAGATGAGGAATTGGAAGGAGCAGAAGAAGGGATGTGACTGGGAATATGTGGAATAGGTGCAAGAGTAGGGATAATGGGATCTGGAATGGATGAAGAAGGCTGAGGATGAGGAGTGGAAAAAGGGAAAATGCTCTCATAAAAAGTGACATCACGTGACACAAAGAAAGAATGGGAATTGATGTCATAAAGTTTGAAACCCTTGGTGCCTGATGGAAAGCCAAGAAAGATACACTGCCTAGCCCTGCTGTCAAATTTGGTCCTGTCTCTATGAAGTGTGGCAGCATAACAGAGACAGCCAAAAACTTTCAAATTAGCTAGGCTAGGAGGTTTGTTGTATAAGCATTCATAGGGGGACTTGTTGTTAAGAACTGAAGAGGGAATCCGATTGATAAGGAACACAGCATGGAGGATGCAATCACTCCAAAACTGTAAGGGCACCCCTGACTGAAATCTGAGTGATCTTGCAACGTTGAGAATGTGTTGATGCTTGCGCTCAACTCTGGCATTTTGCTCAGGAGTTTCAACACATGACAACTGATGCTCAATGCCATTAGACTTGTAAAACTCTGCCATATGGAACTCGTTCCCCTGATCACTTCTTACAACTTTAACATGCTTATTGAACTGTTTAGAAACCATCACACAAAATGATTCTAGTAAAGCACTAGCTTCAGATTTGTACCTCATCAGATAGGTCCAAACACCCCTAGAGAAATCATCTACTATAGTAAGGAAGTAGGAATATCCCTCATGGGATTTTACAGCAAGAGGACCCCATATGTCCACATGAATAAGATTAAATGGTTCTGGGGCATGACTAGAACTGATAGGGAAAGGTAGTCTTTTGTGTTTGGCAAAATGACAAGTCTGACAATGAAAAACTGAAGTCCTATTACAGGGTACTAAGAGTTTCTCTTTGTCTTTGTTTAGGTGTCCTAGCCTCCAGTGCCATAGTTCAATAGTTTGAGGAGTGAAATTGTATGCAGCAGCAGCTTGTGGTGTGTGAGGGGATGAAGGAGTCTTGAAAGTGAGTTGATAAAGCCCCTTAATCCGTTTTGCCAAACCAGTCCTGCTGTGGGTCATTAGGTCCTGAATTTGGCAAGAATCAGATTC